AAAAAAAGAAAGGTCGTCTAGCAAACGCTGGGACATTCCTGAGGTTGCCCGATAAGTCACGATCCTTCTAGAAACTCCAGCGCGCATGCTCCCAGCGTCGCATGACTTCCGCTGTCGTAACATTATCTATACACTGCTATAAAATGTAAAATTCGTTTTTATTTTCGACCATTTTATCATATTTGTTAACAATGATATATTTTTCTGAATTATAGACACAAATACCATTTTAGACAGTACAAACCTTACAACGAAAGGCTATACATCAAAATTTACAATAAATAATGTTGTTCATGCGCGCCCCTAGTAGAACAGCGGTAAGTTTGACGACTAAAATCGGGCTTTCGATACCAGTGATAGGCACAGCAAAGATAACTTATTGGGTAGCTTTGTGCTTTTTGTTCACTAGATGTCACCTGAGTTCATTATATATATATATATTGAGGTGAAATTCATAAATATCGTAAAAATAATATCTATTTAGCCCGTAGACTAACACTAAATGTGTAAGCTGTAGTACAATCTTTAGTCCGTGTATAAAAAATTAAGACAATTTATATGTGTTATTTAAAATTGTGTATAATTGTATTTGACTACGCACAGATATGTGACTGTGTATTCATAAGCCATGACTAAATGGAAAATCAGTATATTCCTTTTTATTAATCGTGATGTTTTCTGTGCATTTTTAGTAGAAATTTCAGTCTACGTTAAAAATTATATTTTATATCTTGCAGAACATTAAGTCACATTATTTATGTATTTGTCGGAAAATTTGTGATTGCCCTACGAAAGATAGCGAAACCATACGTAAGCGATAGGATTATATTTAGACTTATACAGAGCGTGTTAAAAGAGGTTTCATCCCAGAAATCCATTATATAAATTGCTTTTGAGACACAATAAGTCATTTTTAAATTCAAATAATGTAATCAAGATTTTACTATTTACAATACCTTCTTGAAAACTTAAAAATTTCTCTTAAGTTCTGATCAAATTAAGCAAGCTACCTAAATAGATCAGGATTAAAAATTAGCCTGGAGATTAATATAGTTAATTTAATATACAATTCTCATTTATAATGATCAGAATGCATTGTTCAAGTATGGCCTATGAGTGCCCTCGCTATGAGAGATATTTTCATCCGTGATCCCAATAATATTCCACGATATTTATCCAGCTCAAGCAATTTAGGTTTTTATTGAATCACACTCACTTAAACAATTAATTAATATAAAAGCATTACTATAAGAAAATAAGTATTTTAACTTTGTGTATCTAGTATAAAACTTTTCTCGTTAATGGAACTACTTTTTTGTATTCAATACTCAACTTCTTGGTAGGCTAAAGTCTGATGTATTATGTTGCAAATAGTTCGCTCAGTGCATTCCTATGTGACGGGGTGGAACATTGTTAGGGAAAGTTTTCTCAATGGTGTATAAAATAGCTATATTATTAATATGGCCAACCAGCCAAGTAGAAGAAATGGAGCGACAAAAATTAGACTGACCAGTAAGTATACTTTTTGATACTTGCTGTTCGAAATTAAATTAGATAAACTTAGAGTTAGAGACTGAGTTAAGAGTTCATTCACTGGGCAAAGCGTTATAATTTACAAATAGTGAAATACTGGGATTAGTATTTTTATATGTACTGTACTGTAGAAAGGTAAGAAGGGTGTATTAGTATTATTATTAAATTAACTTTACTGATTGCCAGATTGATTTTAAGTTTCACTCTAAGTACGGCGTACGTAGCTTGCTCTGATCAGAAATTATCCCAACGTTTAACATAAGCAATTGTATATAACTATTACTATTAGTGAGTATTACTATTCATAATGTTGTTGTCCTTTGTAGTACTAGTACTGAGTAACAGTAGTGGCTATAATTTATAGATCATCTGATGAATTGTAATATTAAGCTGTATTAGTGTTACTATTATAAATCTGTTTAACTGATAAATTGTAGTGATAAGCTTTGGTATTGAGTGAAATGTTTTCTCAGCACTGGATGTGGCAGTGTAGTGTGGTTGACATAAAATAATCTCCTTTGCTCTAACTCATGGGTACTTAGAATTAAATGATAATTCTAACAGTATTTGTTGATTTATTTTATTGTAAGGTTACTTTTAACTAGAGAAGTTTCTATAATTTGAGTAATAGTTGTTGATTGTATGATACTAATTGCATTTACATAAAAAGATACAAAATAGGTATACAGTTCATTAAAAATGAAAAAGAGTTCTTTGTTTGATTCTTGTGGCTTTAGTGAAGTGTGAATGTTTATTGCAAGAAAGAACTTAATTTAAAAACTATAAGCTAGTGGCTAAAAACCTAAGATTTGCATACCATGAAGTCAGTAAAAAATTTTGGTGAATACAATTTTGGTACTTAGTAGTGAAAAGGTTCACAGTTCTTACTGTAGGTCTTTGAAGTTGTCTTTCTGTTTAACAAAACTTCCAACAAATGGTCTTTCTTACTCCATAAAAATATTTTAACACCATAACCATATAACTAGTTATTCTATATTCTAGTGAAAACAACTGTTTTAGCCTTTCCTTTAGCTCATCAGATCAGTAACAATATCAATCAACAATAATTCTTTCTAATTATATCTTCTTCAAGATGAAGGAAGGGATTTTATTTAGTGGTTAGGCTATGTGCATGCATCTCATATGATTAGCTAATTTACATAATCTTTGACATCATTAATATATGTCACCACTAGGGGAAGCTTATGTCAGTTTCATAATACAAGCATACTCAAATTCTGTGTGCTCTAGCTAGAAGGTGAGTTTGGGTTTTAATATAACTAGAAATTCATAGCTGAACTAAATGACAGAAGGAATAATAAATGAATGTTAAAGAAAATAAAAGTAGAATTTACAATCTCACAACCAAAATGTTCAGTTACATAAGTGGAAAACAGAATATAGGAAAAATAAAAGATGGGAAATCAGAAGGACAGTATAAACCAGGATGCTAGTGGTAACATCAGTATAGAAAATCTTTTTTTATTCTTTACCTCCTGCAAAGCAGCCAAACTCAACATGAGGGGTCATTTCCTGTGAGAACAATCCCTGAGACTGTCACCTAGTGCTCGTCTCAACAGACCACCCAAAGAAAAAGTATCCAAACTCCTGACAAAATCAAGTCTCTTTTAAGTACTTGTACCTGCGTGAAGCATTCGACTGAGTCTTAAAGTAAAAGTTAATTAAGTTATAGGACTTGTTTACTTGTTAGTTGAACAGGTTGAACTCAGAACAACTCATTTTGTATTATTTTCAGATGAAAAAATTTTGTTAAGCACAAATTAAATGAAAAGACCAACTAAAATCAATTTATAAAATGTACAGTAAATATCATTGGGTAATTAACTGTATATTCTGTAAATTGATTTTAGTTAAATGTTGTATACTTGTTGTGGCCATTTCCAGTGTGTATTTTTGTTTTTCTTTAACTTTTTTTATGAAAATCTTTTCCTTTATCTACATAGCATTTGGTTTGGATTTTTTATTAACGATTGTCCAATTTTTTATGTTTTTCATCCACTGAGTCTCGCTAATCTTCTTGATTAGGTCCCTTGAAAGGGATATTAGGCTGTAATATTATCTTTCTTTAAACCTTCGGTGTCATGTTGTATTTTCCTTTTGGTGTTGGAAACTGTTTGTTGTTGATCTGGTTTACTTTATGTGTCAATGCTCCTTCCTTATGTGTCAATGCTCCTTCCTCTGTATTGATTTCTAGGATTTACATTTTTACATCCTGTCTCTTCCTTTAATTTTAAAACTGGGACAGCATATGAAGATATATTTTTATAAAATTTCTGGTTTCCCATTTCTTTTAACAAGTATTTACTACTTTGCTCCATCTCGACATGTTGATGTTGTCTGTACTGGGACCTTTTTTGAGAGGTTATCATTTTATGTTCCTCTTCCAGTCTTGGAGATATTTCTCATGTAATCCTGTTACTATGGTTTAAAGTACTTCCTTAATGGAGAACCACGTTATAAACTAAAGATTTTTATTTCATCGAGGTCAACATTCTACAGTGTTTGTTTGGCAACTGGTAGCTATATTTAAAAGTTAGATATGCATGTGTACATAATTCATGTTCTTTGTTGTGGATTATTGCTACTTCTGTGGTAGATTCGGTTTTCTTTGGAATTTTGTGTTTGCAGGTTCTTTTTTTTTGTTGTTGTTGTTTACTGTCCTCATTTGAGTTTCAAGAAGTACATATTTAATTTATAGCCACTCAGAATTCACTGGTGGGTGAAATTATTTGTATGTATTTTCTCAAGGTGTATTTAGTGTTACAACTATATGAAATACCAGTTTATTTTACTTCATACTAAGAAGGCACAGTTAAGATTTTGATCTTGGCCGACACCAAAATCCAATGATTATTCAACCATATAGACCAATATTTAGTATTAAATTACTGAAACAAATTAAAATATAACTTTTTAGCTGCATTTATAACAGAAATTCCCCAGTAAAACATATTTGATGCATTTAGTTCAGAAAATAAATAAAATAAATTAGAACAATTTTTGTTTTATTTACACCTAGTGACTTTTTGTTTTCTTTCTGTAGCACACACTTTTGAATTAAGATTTTAGAATATCACCTAAATATTTTCCCTTCAAGTAACATATTTTAAGAAGCTAATGTGTATTTTTTTTTTACTATGGTGTGAGGACTTTAAACCACAGTTATCTTCAGAATAATGGTTAGGTATGGATGGAATACAGTCCAGTGTAACAGTGGTGTGAGGACTTTATAAACCACAGTTATCTTCAGAATAATGGTTAGGTATGGATGGAATACAGTCCAGTGTAACAGTGGTGTGAGGACTTTATAAACCCCAGTTATCTTCAGAATAATGGTTAGGTATGGATGGAATACAGCCCGGTGTAAGTCTTTCAATATTTATCCAAGTTTGTCAAAGAAATGCGTTTTTAGGTCCATAGAGATGCAGAGCCATATAATGACAATAATAATGTGGTAATTCAAGCATTTCTTGAATATTTATTGAAGTGTTTAGATACTGCTTTTAGAGCTGTGTGCTTTCTTACTTATAGAGCATTTTAACCTGTTATTTTAAGACATCAACAAGAACTTATCTGTGAAGAGACCAAATGATTGTTATTGAAGGCAACTTTTCTGAAGTAAAAACTACTGAAAACCACAGGAAAAGTAAAAAAAACTTCATAATACATATTGTACTTTGAATATGTGGTTCTTTAAAAATACTTAAAAAACTAAAATCTTTATTTTTCAAGACTTTATAGAGCTGAACAATTGTAAGTTCCTGATAACTATATTAATGTAACCCCCACAGCCATCAATAAATTAATATATTATTATGTTCATCAGACCTTCACCCAATTTCACTTTCAACATATAACTGCATTACAATAGTTGGTGGTCTATTCTAAATGTTTACTGTTTCATCAACATAACTATAGTGGCAACAACAAAAAGAGCATAAGGCCAAATGTTGTTGTCAGCAGTCCAACCGGCATTGGAAGAAGGTTATAGCCCAAGGCAGTAATGGGATAATGTCTTCTTTGAATGGATTAGCCCCGCATTGTGTAGTAAGCCCTTGGTGTTGGCCAGTGAGACACAGTGTGACTCGTCTTCCTTAGCGTACCTCAGTGGTGAACGTACCACTGTAAGATAAAGGAATTTGCAGAGTGTGGAGGTTAAAGGCCTACAATAGACGGTTCTCCAGCCGTGGCCTTCAGCACTATTAGTACTACGTGGCTGGGTCTTTTGGTTTTCTTGAATGCCAGCTACGATTTAAAAGTTTTTATCTATGGCAATAAGTGGACCGTTAAAGCCCTATCGACCACTTTGTAGTCTGTGAAGGTCAGACACAGACTTACTAGATGGGATATGTAGACTTATGCTTGAGTAAATATCGTTTGTTGTATGAAAAGTGTCATTTATGAATGGAGTATGTACACTGAAGTAGAATATACATTATTAAAAAGTTCACGGCCAATTGTGTTGTTATAAAAACAGGTAAATTATTTTTACAGGTGAAATTTATCTGTATCGTGTAATTATATTTGTCATTAAACCCCTAATGATGTTTTCATCGCTGTTTCGTTTGAAATGTCTACTGACAGTTTAAGAGAGCAAGGTGTATAAAGAAGTGGTAAAAATTACATATCATTAAGAGAACCTGTGCTTTCTTTGAATTGGTAAACATTATTACAATCGTTAGCGTGTAGTCTCTGGAATAATGTTTGAAAAGGGTGTGGGTTTGTAATGTGTAAATCAAAATTTGTGGATATAAAATTAAATACCTGTCAGAGCAAGCTACGTACTTGGATCAGAATTAAAAATTAACCCACTGATGAATAGAGTTAATTTAATCTAATCAAAAAACACCTTGGTTGTAAAAAAGAAAAAAAAACCAAAAAAAAGGTGCGACCAAAAAGGATTGAGCATACGACTTAAAGGAATAAAATCAAAATCGGCGGCCAAGCTTGTAGCTACA